TGTATATAATGCCTGCATCTGTAACTTTCAATCTATGCATCTGAAGAAGTGAGGTTTTTATCCACGAAAGCTTATGCCCAAATAAATCTCTTAGTCTTTAAGGTGCCGCCAGACTCCTTGTTACCTTTTGATGTATGCAGTGTTGTTGTAGCCATGTTGGTCCCAGGATATTAGAGAGAAAAGATGGGTGAGGCTATAACTTTTATTGGCCCAACTTCTGTTGGCGAGAGAGACAAGCTTTTGAACTTACATAGCAGTCTTCTTCAGGTCTGGGACAATCCCACCAACAGAAGTTGGTTCAATAAAAGATATTACCTCACCCACCTTGTCTCTTAGTACCTTTTGACGTATTCTGTTGCTTTGTGTCCCTCAGTTTGTCCAATAAAATTACATTACACCACAAAATTTGAAACATAGGTGGATTTTGACACTGGCTCATGCAAGTGGCAGTTTTCAAGGGTAGGAGTAGTAAAATGTTTAGGAAATTGTCATTATTTGGTTTATGATAATGAAACTGAGAGAGAAGAAAATATGATCATTAGGAATATGTTCATTACTGGGATTAAACCAGCCATTACTATTTCTCAAAAGTGGAAAAAAAATGCTAGGATCTGATGAAAATACTACTCCTGTTGCATTTCCAACTAAATATTCTCTTGGCCTTATGGGCACAGATCCAGTCTCCAGAGGTTGTAATGAAAGAGCAGAAAATGTAAATGACTGCCAATGGCTATATAAGACATTTGTGGCATTGAGTGTCTGCATTGAATAAGGTGGTCTCTGTGGGAGCCATTACTAGCCTGGCCGGAACTACATCATCCTTTAATTAAATTATCTGGTAAAATGCCCCTTTATTTAAAGTTATTCCAAAGCAGTACTGGAGAACGGAACTGTAGAGCTTCATTGTTGAAATCAAAGTTGTGACACCACCATATAATCACACTGTAAAGCTGAAATGAGATTTTGCACCTATATGTTGTCTCTGAGACTCAACATACTTGTATATTCCTCCAAAGAATGGGGCTTATATTTGTGTTAGCAATAGTTAGAGAGTTCCCCTGTCAAGGGATTTATTATCATTTCTAAATTGATTTAATTGATGCCAAGACACTACACTGATGAATGTTTTAAAGTAAAAATAATAATAATGTAAAAGCATAAGGCAAACGTCATAACAATGTCAAGACATCATACCAGAACTATTTTGTGGTTCTCTCCTACTCCTTAAACATTGTATTTCCAATCTTCTCATCTGGAGGAAAAAACAGAAGGTTGTTTCTTCTCTCCTTTATCGTCTCTCCCATTCTGGTTGCTGGGAGAGAAGTACAGTAATATTCTGGTGATTCTTACTCCGGGAGTCAGAATGCTATTTCCCTGCATCACACAGCTGGGCTTCTCTGGTTGATGCTCCTTTAACTGCCAGAGACCCAAGCAGAGCAAGTGAATTTTCATCAGATCTGCAAAGTCAGTAAGAACTACATGTAAGACCATGAAGAATACCACGAAGCTATAGAATATATTTGACAAACTGGCACTTTGGACATGCTCTGTACATCATGTTTTATTTATTTTATGCTCTCATCCTTAAGGGGGAATTATATGCTTCATAGGTTAAAGGCTCTGGCTCTTTTCTCATATGAGATACTGACAGCATCATGACGCATATCAGACATTACATTTGCAGAATATTCATGTTGCTCATTTCAGACAGTTCGTAAGAAAAGCAGGTCAAAACAAAAGAAAATGGTCAGTTGTTTTTTAGGTGAGTTGGAAAATGCACAGGGTACTCTGCAACGTTGTCTAGATTTGGATCCTACATCAGCAGATGTCCATCTTCTCATGGCCCAGATCTATCTGTCCCAAGGAAATTTCAGAGAGTGTTCTCATTCATTGGAGTTGGGGGTCAGTCATAATTTTCAGGTAAGAGCTAGTACTTACTACAAAAAATCTTTTTATTGGAAGTATTTGTTCACAATATACAATACGCTGTGTGAGTTAATCCCTTATATGTTGTACTAAACATTTTTCTCTTAGGAAATACCCTTAAGTAACTTACACAGAAATGAGAAATGCAGATATACTGATACCAGCTTCAGCAGTGGCATACAACTCCATACCCCATTTGTTCACTTTTGTATGTTAGTGCTTTCAGAAGAGTCAGTACTCCCCATCTAGTGATATTTCGTGGCTGTCTCTTTATCACCATATCAAATGTATGGGAGGAGCTACAGTAAAGGGTGTGGTCTAATGTCCTGAGAGTGGTCACTTTTCTTCTCCCTATCTGTAGTAACAGATGCCTTCCTAACAAAAAGGGTTACAACATTTATGATCTTGAGATATTTTCTTAGTTTTATTTTCGAGTGAACATTCTTGAGTTGAGAGCAATTTATCTATATCAGAAGGACATCTATTTAGTGTTCCAAGTCAAAGTGGTTTCAGTGTACTTGACAATTCCACAGTAATGGTTTCATGACAACCAGCAATTGAGAATAGACTTTGAGTACTTGCATAAGTAATTGTTGCAGGATCAGGCTCTGGTTGCAAAGTAACTGAATTTTTATCATGATCATACAGCATATACTTACTACTTTTGTCAGGTTCGTGATTATCCACTGTATCACTTCATCAAGGCCAGAGCACTGAATAAAGTAGGAGATTATCCAGAAGCCATAAAAATTTTAAAAATGATTATCAGTTTACCTTATATGAAGAAAGGTGAAAGTAAAAAAATCCTTGGTACCAGTATAACAACCAGTGAATGGGTGTCCATATATCTGGAACTTGCAGAAGCTCTTCGACTCAATGGGGAACTGGTAAGAAATTGAATATAAACTACATTTTCAGTAAGGAGAATGTTATAAATACATTTTTAATTAAAAAGTCAGGAGCCGTTCTGATTAGGCAAATCTAGAGTAATGAAATTTGGTAAGGAAAACTAAACTGGCCATACATTAATAGAGCACAACAAGAATGATGTTTGTAATCTAGATTAGTTGCTAAAATATCTCTTGAAAGATGTTGTGAAATTCATTAGGCAGATATGATATTTTATGATTGTAAATTGACCCATAGGAGGCCTTTCTGTTTCCAGTCTGTATCTGACCTTGTAGGAAAAGGAGACATCTAGAAGAAGGTACAGAATCAGTCTTATTGGGCCTCCCTAAGCAGTTTTGAGGGGCAGTCACACCGGAACTATACTTTTCTTACATAGTAAAAGAGTCTTAATTTTTCAAACTATAGGGATTTTGAACCCAACAGCACAGTTGTAAATACTCTTCAAAGAAGAAGTCCTTTTGGTATACAGTCCATTTATTGTAGCAAGCTCCTCATATATTTTATATGATGTGTCTATACTTTGTAAATTTTAGGAACTGTAGAGTTAGTCCAAGTGTCTCATTAGGCTCATAACTTCATTAGGCTATGAAAATTGCCCTGTTCCTTAGCAATACAATGATGATGATTCCAAATGTCACTGAGGGGATAGTTGATATTCATGTTATCAGTTATCCACTATATATTATGTTATTATTGTATGTAATAATATTGTCCTCTATACTACCTGTGAGCTACTTAATGGCAATTAATCTGAAAGCATGTGTTTATACAGAATATGTCAACATTGTAGTGGTTTCCCCTAACATACTGGGTGAAATTAATTGGAGTTTTGCCTTTGACTGCAATGGAGCCAGGATTTCACCCATATTGAGTGTAGTGTACCATACATACTAAGTACTTCACTTCATAGAACAGACAGTATAAAATAACAAGGGGGGTTATATATATGCAAACAAGTTTTATATATGGATCTGTAACAGGTCCTCTGCCAGCCCCTCTTCCTGGGGCCCACTGACTGCCCCAATAAAGCACAGAGAGGCTTCTCCTTCTGCAGCACTCGTGGCTTTATTTACAGACTTCTCCCACCACCAGTGATATACTATATACAGTTTGCAGACCTTACAATCTCCACTTCAGCCCAGAGACTGACCTTCCCCTGGCCATCCTCCTTCCTTCTGGCTGCCAGCCAGCCTTTATAGCCCTTGAACCCTCAGGCCGACAGGTGCAGCCAGTTCTAAAGGCCAGGCACCAGACTTCTCCCTAGCCCCAATCTATTTCCCCTGATTGGGGCTGGCTGAGCAGGGGCTAATTAGGTGCCTCTGCACCAGCACCCTGCTACAGGATCCTACAACTAATAGTTGAGAAGTTGTGTGACTAAAACTTTCCATCTCACCCTCAAAAGGCTATTTAAATATTCCCACAATAAGTAGTCATTCAAAAAAGGCCATTTGTAGTTCTAACTAGAAACAAAAATTGCATGGTACATTTTAATTCATACTTTCAAATTTAAAATACCTATACTAACTGGAAACAGTAGTATATCTGTCATCTTGTGTATTATGTGTGTATACATTGTCCTCAGCTTAGTCTAGAGCCTGATCCTGAGACGTGCCTTTCACTTTAATGTGAGCTATAGGCACTCAGAATTTCTTGGAATCAAGTGAATAAAATGTGCACTCTTTTGGGCATAGTCCATAGTGTCCTCTGTAGTGCTCATTAAATTATGTGTAGTAAAATTTGTCATCAGTTATTTAACTGAGATATGTGGCAACTGCAATAAATCCAAAATGAAGCGCATTCTGACACACTTAAAAAAATTAGGAGAATAGACAATGAAGAAAGTCTCATGATTTGCTGGTGTCTTTTTTCCTTGGGTAATAATAGCATCGACAGCTTCCAGTGTCATTCTTGTCTCCTCATGGAGAATTAGTCTATGCAGTTCTGAAGTGCTGAACATTCCCTCTCTTGCCAATTCAAATATATATTGCTCATGAGAAAGTTTGCCATTAGAGTTGGGACAAATTGGTTAATTGAAATAAAGCGTCTCCAAACAAAAGAGAATTAGGTTGAATATTTTCCCTAAATAACCTACTTTCAAATCGGTATCTGCTATTCAAAGGTAGATAGCACATGTTGTCTGAAATATTTACATAATTTACAAAGGAGATAACTATTGCTTATATATAGTAAATTTAAAAAATAGACTATATCACAAACCTTCAAGTTACTCAGTTATAGATTAGCTGAATAAAGCCTAAACTTTTTCAATAGTTCTCTTGTTTGCTTAAGGAAACACTTTTATTCAATGCCAGATATAACATTGCAAGCTGTCAGACTTAGAGCATCGCACTATTCTTTATTTGTATTGCAGTAGTGCCTAGAGACACCAGTCATAGACCAGAATCCCACTGTAGTGAGCACTGTACAAACACACAACCAAAAGACAGTACATGCCCTGAGGAGCTTACAATCTAAGTATAAGACTGAACATATGGATACAACAAACAGACAGGGGAAACAAAAGGGAACTGTGAAGGTAACCGTGAGACAAGACTGGTTAGCATGAAAAGAAAAGCAGTGGTCACATTGTTTGCAATATTAGGGTTTTGGATTCAATTGAACCTCCAGTTTAATATGAAATGAAAATGGGTTTGGCAAGCCCAACTGCTTTAAAATGAAATACATTTTGCACCAGCTAACCCTGTGATGGTAATAGAGTAATTTAGTTACAATTTTACTTATTTTTTAATATTCCAGCATGAAGCCACTAAAATTATGCAGGATGCCATTAATGAATTTAGTGGAACTCCAGAGGAAATCCGCATCACTGTTGCTAATGTAGATTTGGCTCTCAGTAAAGGGGAAGTGGAAATAGCGCTAAGCATGCTGAGAAATATCACCCCAAGCCAGCCATATTATACTGAGGTTAAAGAAAAGATGGCTCAGATATACCTTCAGATACGGAAGGATAAGAGACTATACATTGGATGTTATTGGTAATATTGTTTAAGATTAATTCTGTTAAAAATGTTTACATTTTCAAATATTTTATTTTAAAAAGATGATGGCTTTATATACAGAAAAAATGCTGACAATATAGAGCAAAACCAATTTCAGAACCTTTTGGAAGCATAGTCTAGGAGTTAAAGTACAGAGCTGTGAATCCAGAAAACAGGGTCCATTTCCACAAGTCACTTTTTTATTTCAGTGTTGTTTGTCATAATCATTCATATTTTTGTTAAGATAACAAGACCTCTAAGTATTTTGGAGGAAAGAGAAAAAAATAGAAACAGTTGAGACTCTTAAGGAAATACATTAATATTTTAAAATACCACAATAAACATTGTTATGACATAAAAGATTATGCTAAACAGTTGGGGTCAGATTGTGCCACCTTTTTTCATCCTGAGTACTGCCTCACTCCGCAGGTGTACTACTGAAAACAAAAATCAATTTTTTGAAGTAAGTTAGTACTCAGTGTGAGTACGGATGGCAGAATTTGCCACTTAATCACTAGCCAACAGTAAATATTTCCCCCAACATTCGCATTAAGGGTCAGATATTTCTATTTCAGAACTAGCATTTTCTTTATTGAAAGAGGCTTTCATCTTCAGCTAAAGAAGACAAAAAAGTTTTTCTGTCATCAGAAACATAAAATACTTACTGATTTTTGACTATTGGATAACATCGGTTTTATGGGGAAAAGAACTGAAGTGGGGAAGACTAAATGCCAGATTCTGTCACTCTCACACGGAGTATGGCCTTCCTCCAAAATTAGACCGCTCAATCAATAGGACTGCTCGCAGAGAGCTCAATTATGTCTTTGCCATTAGCCCTATGTTACGGACAGTGCTTTGCTGTGTTGCCCCAGGAGCAGCTTGAGCAGGAAACTGTGATTCGCAGAGAGAGCATTCTGTATGGAGGCTGTACCCGATGCAGCATACGCTCCCTGAAGCATCAAGCACACCCACGGTGTTTGGCATGTTGGGAGAGCAGAGCTAAGGCTCTGACCTCTCTCTGCTCCCTCTGGCTCACCTGCATGGTTAGCCTGCATCACCTCCCATGCTAATAACGATGACTAAGGTAAATGGCAACAGGAGCACGAGGGAGCATCGTGCAATCCCTCATGCCACCCCATTGCCTGGGTCACAGTTTGGCTCAGAGTAAGATACTACTCAAAATGAGAAAAGGGGGCAGAATCTGAACCTACAAAAATAAAAGTAGACATCATGATTCTATGATTAAATGATTATATATCCCGAGTGATAGATAAATCATTCATTTAACAGCTTTCTATTGTCACACAAACAGCAAAATCCTCAGTCCAGCACCTCTATAACTGAAAGAGATTTTACATAATCATTGTTATGAATTTCCATACACATTAAAAGTATTAGAGAAATGCACTAAATGATCAGAATATTATTTTTTTCTATATTGAGAACTGAATGTTGGCATGTGGTTTCTCACTGATAATGTGAGTAATCCATGTAAACAGGCCACATAATATGTTTGCCCAGATGCACTTGCATTTTCCAAGTTATAACTCTTTTTGTTATTTCTTGCTCATATTCCAAATATGCTGGAATTCTGGTAGTATTTTTTTGGGCTTGTCTATATGAACGGTTGGTGCGGGTCAAGCTGGGATATAAAACTGCTTCGCTCTAGATTGCTGCTCATTAAACTGTCCATGTGGACCCTGCTGCTGTGGACTAACAGTTCAGTAGTGCACTTCGATATACTCCTGTTTCAAAGTGGGATAGATCAGTGTACACTAGGGAATCTTTAGTGTGTGGCAGTGAGGTCCACACCGTTAGTGTACAGCAGGGTGGTGTGGAGTAGTTTTACACCCCAGCTTACTGCACCATAACTGTTTGTACAGAAAAGCCCTTATGCAGCAAGACAAGAGGATAGTTGGGATTACTACTTTTGACTTGCTAAAACTTGTGCTCTTCCTTTTATTTTTATTTTCTCGCTCCACTCCCCTCAATCTAACCTACTTGTTTGTGTCATCCACCTGTCATGTCTGTCTTTTGAATCGTAAGCTCTGTGGAGCATGGAATATCATTTTCTATATTTGTACAGTACCTAACCCAATGGGGTCCCAACCTGCTTGGCTAATAGGCACTATAGCAATATGCATATTATTAAGTGATAATTTCTCACTGGTATTTACAATACCTCCAAGTTTGGTGCCATTTACATTTTTTCCCTCTTCCAGATCCCCATCAGGATATTAAATAGGATGGAACCTAATAAAATTCCTGTGCAGTACCTTCCTAGGCACCTCCCCCACCATTACATATTTGATATATTGCTTTTTATCATTTTCCTTTGTTTATGGTCCATTGGCTATTTTTCAGTGTGCAACAATGTTCAGACAAGCAGAACTGAAATTACTTTGGTGTGTAAGATTTCCTACACGAAAAAGAGTGGGGAGAATTCTTTTGTTTGGTAATAATAGCTCCTTTGTTTTGAGGAGCTCAAACTTCTCTAGGGCTTGGGCCTGCATCATTAGGGGTAATGGAAGTTTTCCCATTTACTTGAATGCAAACAGGATCAAGTCCTTAAAAGCATAGAAATTTTATGTCTATTTTATACCGCGGCACAGAGAAGTTAAGTGATTTCACCCAAGGTTACACTGCAAGTTTATGATACAGTGAGAATGAGAACCCAGACCTCCCCACTCCCAGTCCCTTGCTAAGTCACAGTGTCTCCTAATATTTGATGTAGATGTCTGCTCTGGTGAGGGAAAAGAATATAAGATCATAGAACTTAGAGGAGAAAGAACTGTTAGATCAAGTCCACCCCCCTTCAAGTGCATGATATTGTTCTGCCTCTAAAGGACAATATCCAATATTAAACTCCTATAACACACTTGATCCTAGCCAGAAGGTCAACATACCTGATAAAGAGCCATTATGTACAGCTATTGTATGCTTTATTCATATCCTCCTTGGAATATCACCAATATTTTCAGCTCCCCCAAAAGACTTTTGTGTCTATCAGAGATTGTCAAGTCAGCAAATCCCTATCTAGGGCAAAGTGAAAAACAGAGATTTCCCCTCCATTTACCCACTTCACTTTTTTCCTACCTTGCTTTGCTCTTTTGCACTGAGTTTATATAATTTTCTCAACTAGATATAATAAAGAGACTGTCCTCCACAGTAGCGTGGTTCAGCCTGAGGAATAATTATTCTGGAATAGCTATTTCAGTATATTTCCAAGTGTAGGCAAGCCCTTAGATTCATCTCAGGGGGGATAAACTGCTTGAATTTACCCACTCTGAAGTTTTGTCAAATTCTCCCATTACTGCACTATAGTACCAGTGCTATGAATGGTGGGAGCACTAATGTAGTCTGAGCACAGGTGGGTTTTTTTACTACCGTGTGGTCTAGATTTGTTCTGTTTAGGACTAGGTGACTTAGTAACAAAAACACCCACATCTGGTGCATACTATGCTCCCATCCTTGCTAACACCTGTGGACCTGCCCCAGTGGTAGTCCAATGATGAGAGAATTTGACAAAAACCTCATTGTAGATATAGCTGGGGAGAGGTTGCCTTTTTCTACTAGCTACTTTTGTGTGTGTGTGTGTGTGTGTGTGTGTGTGTGTGTGAAGAGGGGCTAGAATCAGACTGTGGTTGTGGAAACTTGTTAAAAATTATATTTTTTTAATTCAAAACATGCAAATATCTTCTAACTATTCTATGTCACCATGAGTTCCTATCACTGTTATCTTCAATTTTCCATTCCAATTCTCTCAATTTGTTTGCTGCACCAGTGTATTGCATCTTGTCTTCATTCAGATTGTGCAAGCATTTTGGAACAGTGGCTGTTAAAGTCATTGGAGCTCCTCTGACTTAAGTTCTAGCTCTGTTTTTTTAATGACAGAACTGACTTTATTTTCTTGAGGTTCATATATTTTCTTACATTTCATGCATTAGATTTCAAAATTTGTCTCTTATGGTTTCTTGATTCTAAATGTTGTTGTTACTTTTTTTTATAGCGAACTGTGTGAACAATTGCCAAGTCCTCAGACTAGCCTTCTCTTGGGAGATGCCTACATGAATATTCAAGAGGTTAGTATAAATTTGTTTAATAAACCTGTAGTAATTCAAACAAAAATACATTTAACTGAAAAGCTGGATTTAAATAATAATAATAAATTAATAACTAGCACTTATATAACATACAATAAATGTTGCTGAATCATTGGCAAAAATATTCCTAATTGCTAATATTACACATCAAAATAACTCTCACTTCTGTCCCTTACTTTTAGCCAGAGAAAGCTGTGGAAGTATACGAAGCAGCTCAAAGAAAGAATCCTTTAGATGCAACACTGGCCAGAAAAATTGGACAAGCATATGTGAAAACTCATCAATATAGCAAGGTCTTGAAAACAAAGGATTTTTTTTATTCGTTGAACATTTAAATCATAAGAACAAAGAAACAAAGAGAAATTATAAAATTGAATAGACGACAGAAGTTATAAATGAATGTTTCATTTTGACCTACTGTAATTCTGTATTTGGGATATTATATTGACATTTTAAAATTTCCTTGTAGGCTGTTAATTATTATGAAGCAGCTCTAAAGATGAGTGAGCAGGACTTCTTGTGCCATGATCTTGCTGAACTCCTCCTCAAACTCAAGAAGTTTAACAAGGCAGAAAGCGTTCTGAATCAAGCTATGGAGCATGACTCTGGTAGCATTATTCATCCTTTCTATTAAGTTTGCTCTGTGTAGTATCGAAGCCTGTGGATCATTTACAATATATAACATTAATTTCTTCATAAATAAGTATTCTAGTTAATTATATTTCTAGACTGAGTACACTTACACAAGCTTTCAATAAATATTTAAATTGCCTTGCGTGAGGGCACGCTCCCAGGCCTTGGTTTACACATTTGTGGGTGGCACAAAAATACTTCATTTTGTACTCCAAATATCAATTCTTGTTTCTGATAGCCAGAAAAATGTCAGACTCAAGAGGTAACATATTACCATTTTTAATCTTTCAGTTAATGACTTGCCTTCCATGATGAAGGATGTCAAGAGCTTGCTTTTACTAGCAGAGGTTTACAAAAACAATAAAAAAGAAGAAGTGATGGGAACTTTGAACAAGGTAATTCATGAGGTTATACAAGCCATATACAATGCTAGAGATCTTCCCTAATCATTTATCAGTAGAAATAGCTTAAGTTCTTCTTTGAGTAGATGCAGCTGTGTATCCCACTTAGGGTGCTGAAGCCAGGCCACTGGCTGCATTGAGGTGGGAGATCACCCTGAAGTCCCCACTTCCCCCAGTACAGGGACTCGGCAATGAGGCTGCACCTGACCCTGACACAGTGCAAGGGCTGAGCCTGCCCCAGAAACACCCTGGGGCCCTGCCTCTCTGCACCAGGCGTGGGTAGGCAGGCTCAGCCCAGCAGGATCCAAGTGTGGAGGGGCTTAGTGTGGGGTGATCCATGTGTGGGGTGAGAGGTTTCTGGGTGGGGCAATCTGGGTGCGGGCAGCTCAGTGGGAAATCTTGATCCACAGGAGTTCGTTGCAGGGTTCCAGGTGTGGGGGCCGTGGGACTCTTCAGGGGATCCAAGTGAAAGTGGTTGGGGCTCAGTGGGGTGGGGGTCCAGGTGTGGGGAGATGGGGCTCAATGGGGGGGTCTGGGTGTGGGGGGCTCAATGGGGGGGTCCGGGTGCTGGGGGAGTGGGGCTTGATGGGGTAGGAGTCCAGTGCAGCTGCTTGGGGATCAGTGGGGTGGGGGTCTGGGTGTGGAAGTCTCATCAGAGGGGTCCAGGTGTAGGCAGGTAGGGCTTGTCAGGGTGAGGGTTCGATGGGCCTGCTTAACGGGGAGCCCCAGCTGCTGATGAGGGGACGCTGCATGCCAGGCTCCCGCTCCACCCCCCCCCCCACTGATTCCTCTATCCCCTTTTCTTCTCCATCCCCCTCTAACTCCCACATTCCCCTCCCCCTGCCCTATTCCACCCCCGTTCCTTCCCCACTGCCTCTTCCCCTCACCCCCTTCCCTCATTTCCCCACCCCCCTTACCCAGCCCCACCACGGGCACTCACGGTTGCACAGAAAAAAGGCAGGCTCCCAGCACATAGTGCCAGTAGTGCTCCCCTTCTGAGACCCAGGAGGCAGCGTTCGGCTGCAGAGTCAGCGGAGCCGAGATGCAGCCTCCTTCAGCTGGGCAGCTCTGCAGTTGAAGAAATGCGGGGGGGCAGTGGCATGTAACCCTGTGTACCCCCCATGCCTCACCTCTGTTTGGGTGGGCAATCCCCCCCCCAAAATGTGCCCACTGTTTGGCTTTCCCCCCAAATGGCTTCCCTTTGCTTCCCTACCATTTTCTGCAGGGAAGCACAGGAATTCTGCGGGGGAGGGAACGGGGGGAGGGAACTGGTGCGGTTGTCATGTGCGCAGTCACACAGAATCCCCCCAGGAGTAAACTACAGCTTGAGTGTGCCTAAGGCTTTTGGGTCACATGGCTGCTTGCATGCAGGTAGTCCAATTTGCCAAGTTACATCTTCACCCTCGCCAAATGTGGCTGAGGACAGTTTATCATCCACCCATCATCCCTTGGACAGTTTGGTCCAGCTCCCTGTGCCGATCCTGGACTCCTTACAGTGGTGGACAGTTCAATGCAATTAATGCCAGGGCATTCCCTTTGTTTGGTCCCCACTAGGACCCAGGAGGCAGCGTTCAGCTGCAGAGTCAGTGGAGCCGAGATGCAGCCTCCTTCAGCTGGGCAGCTCTGCAGTTGCAGAAATGAGGAGGCCTCAGTCTGGGCTCCCTGACTGACTCCTTTCACCCGAGTTGGGAATCAGCACTCCTGTATGCTTTCCCTCTGATTCCAATCATCTTGCACGTAATCCTCAAGCTGAACCACGCCAAGGTCATCCTCATTGATCCAGAGTGGCTGAAAAAATGTCGATTCTCCAACCTTCTGGTATTATCAATTTGGCCTCCCACATCTCTTCCTCTTCATCCAGATCTCCCTACTCAGCGTCATGGTCAGATCTTGCATTCTGCCTTCGGTTCTCTCACTCTGTGGATGCTCCACGGTTAAATGCGGTGGAGGAACAACATTTTGGAGGCTGTTCGATGAGTTTTACTTTACAATAGGAAACCCACTACCACATTGACCCATTTGGTGAAATGGGAATGTTTTCAGTGTGCTCATTGTCTGGCAGGGTTCAACCTGCCAGACAATGTTAGGAATCAAACAGGATGTTAGGAATAATTAAAAAGGGGATAAAGAATAAGACTGAGGATATATTATTGCCCTTATATAAATCGATGGTACGCCCTCATCTCGAATACTGCGTACAGATGTGGTCTCCTTATCTCAAAAAAGATATACTGGCACTAGAAAAGGTTCAGAAAAGGGCAACTAAAATGATTAAGGGTTTGGAACGGGTCCCCTCTGAGGAGAGATTAAAGAGGCTAGGACTCTTCAGCTTGGAAAAGAGGAGACTAAGGGGGGATATGATAGAGGTATATAAAATCATGAGTGATGTGGAGAAAGTGGATAAGGAAAAGTTATTTACTTATTCCAATAATACAAGAACTAGGGGTCATCAAATGAAATTAATAGGCAGCAGGTTTAAAACAAATAAAAGGAAGTTCTTCTTCATGCAGCGCACAGTCAACTTCTGGAACTCCTTACCTGAGGAGGTTGTGAAGGCTAGGACTATAACAGAGTTTAAAAGAGAACTGGATAAATTAATAAAAAGAACAGGAGTACTTGTGGCACCTTAGAGACTAACAAATTTATTAGAGCATAAGCTTTCG